CCCATTAAATTAAATTCCATTACATTTTTTTCTTTCATTCCAACCACACATTCATCAAATAAAATAATATTACACACAAATCTAAAACGTTTCAACCACACATTCTCCCATCAATCACTATTCTAAATATTTTCAACCCCCAAAAATGGGGGCCAAACAGGGGCATATATGTGATGTTGCCATTATCAGAATAACCTACTTGGTAAGGATTAAAATCAAAATTTTAGTAGATTTTGATTAAAGTTGATGATATGTGTGGTTGAAAAGTTGTAAGACCTATGAAATATATGGTTGAATTGATTGTAGATTTTGACTTTGATTAAAATTTGAATTTTAATCACTTCCAAACATGGGCGCCTTGAAGCAAATCTGCCTGGAAGTGTTTATGAGATTTCCTTATTTAGCCCCTTAATTTCAGTTTTTTTTTTTTTTAAAAGCTTATTTCTTTAACTGTTCTGCTTTCACATTGTAAGTTAAAGGAGTACTGAGAACTTACTATGAGCAAAGACCATGGTTGAGAAGGCAAACCAGAATATCATGCCAACTTGATGTAAAGGAGGTCCCCTGAAATCATCATTTATTCGATGCTCAAGAAGCCAAATAAAAAATCCAATGAACACAAATGAAAAAAAGCTTGTCAACCAAAGTTCCCATGACAATGGCTTCAAAAATACCCAAGCAGTACTTTTCCTCTTGATTGGCACCACCAGTGCAATACCAGATTCTGTGTACGGGAGAGTAAAATCCACATACTGAGACCTATTCGCCACAATAGTTATATCTCCTACTACAACTTCATAGTTCTGTTCATTGATCAGGAAAAGATTAGCATTACATTATAAGCATAGATTCTAAATAAGACATGCGACGCATTGTTGTGCAGAAAATGTGTGATATATTAGTTGCAAAACATGTTTTTTCTGGTAAAAGGCATGCAGTTAAGAGACTTACTCCGAAGTATACTTGATCGACCAAATCATTATAATTACCAGCACTTTTGTGGTCAGATGTTGCAAATGGAACATATTCATATGGTACGCCATATGGCAATGCTGCCATTACTGCATCAAAGACATCCTTGCAGTATCCTTTCACTTCTGCGGAGTTCGTGACAGAATCCCATGTAACTTGAAGGAATTCATTGAAACCATCCTTCACCGGTACTCCTATTCTTGGTTTCTTTCCGTTCGTGGGGATGACCCAACCCTTGGGCGGTGATGTCTTGTCACCAGGCCATATAATAGATCCAAAGTTGTTCTTGCTAGTGGAATACAGGAATTCAGTTCTCTAACAATTCCAGTTTCTTTTGTCCAGTATCCTACCGGTCTAGCCCAATGGCCAACCAGATTAACTATCTCATAAGGAGATGACTGGAGTTGGCCATCAAGCAATTGAAAGTTTCTAGCCAGGCCTTTGAACGTGGTATTTGATAATGCTTTGAGGAGCTGTGGACCATCTTTAGAGATTCCAAACTTTTCAAGGTCCGTTGCACTTGTAGAGATGTTAGACATTTGAAACTTAGAATTTGTAAGTCTTGCCTTCTCTACTGACATGGCTAGTGCTATTGCAGAATCATAAGCCCAGAGTCCGAAAATGTTTAGTTCAGAATCAAGAGTCGGATTGTTTTGTTTCCATCGAGTAGTGAACTTACGAAGCTCTTTTGTTTTTGGAACATAAGGTTTTACACCTATTACCCCTAGCATAGACTCTATGACAGAAGGATCCATTGAGCTCAATTCATTTGTGATCCCATTAGTTATGATCCATGCATATTCTTCACTCATCATTCCGAGTTGTTTTGCTTTGGTGAACAACCGGGAACCAAGAGAGGTCAGCGTGTGGACAATGAAAACCCGAGTTTGCATCGTCATCAGCTTGTAAAGCTCTGCAACAAGTTGATCGTCTGTGGCCATGGAAGGGATGACACTTCTGTAAGGGACACGAGCATTGACCTTTTCCAGTGCATCTGTCAGAAAAGGTATAATCCCTTCTCCATACTCATTATCAACATAGACGGGCACTACTTCTCTCCATCCAAAAGCTTGAATAATAGCACTAATGACATTTACTTGAGATGAATCGTTCTGAGTAGATCGAATAAAGTATGGAGTTTGAATTGATGAAAGAGAAGGACTCGTTGCTGAAAATGAGATAATGGGAACTTGAGCTTTCTCTCCAAGATCAATCAGGAAGTTTGCTTGCATTGAGTAAGGGGGTCCTATTATGGGATTCACTTCCACATTCTTCAGTAGGTCTAGAGCTGCATTTCAGTGAGTAACAAAATTAACTTTAATGACAAATTTAAATAAGATTAGTCAGCACCTGGGGAAGATTATAGGGGAAGTAGAAATAAAGTGATATCACCTTTGAAAAGTCTTTTATTCCGTCAATAATTTATAGATGGATAAGGCCACTCAAACAGGGAATTCAGATGGGGATAAAAAACAGATACATGTGGAGTCACCTGACTTGCTGGTTTTTCTTTTAAATTTTCCCATCCCCCAATGTTTTGATGCCAAGTGTCTATATTCAATTCCCTGTTTTTTGGCCCTGTTTTTCTTGCACTGTCTTTTATAGATAATGCTTTTGATTTTATTTGTGTCTCGGCATTGACGTTGGTGTATCAAGTATTTTATGTTGGAAAGACAAGTGTACAGGCATATCCTTTACAAGTATTGCGTTGGCAACACCTGAATGGTTTTTTTTTTTTTTGCCAACTGCGAATCAAAACTTGACAAGGGTGCATCTGTAAGAATTCTGGCAAAAAAATCCTCTACGTGTAGCTAATTAACTGTTTTATGTTAAGAATACGATAAACCTTAATCTTATACTAAGCTTAAAAGTGTTTTAGGAAAAGCTAAATCTTCCAATATGGATCTATGAGGTTAGCACATGATTACTCGAGCTATGGTCAAGCTCGAATGTTAATTAGGTTAGCTAATTAACTGTTTAATTCCTTGGTGTCAGCTCGAATGGTGTCCTCTTTAGACACTAGTGGAAAAATTCTTACAAACAAATTCATCTGTACTAACCACTCTAATTATTTATTTTTCGAACTTCAATTCATCTTCATAATATTTGAAGTCTTTTAGTCTTTGTTTGGGCAAGATTATTTGAAGTGAAAAATAATTTTTTTGGCGAACGAGTTGTTAAAAAGTAATGAAAAATTATTGATCCACGTGTCAAATTATTTTATTGAGAGAATGCATGAGTAAAAATGAATTTTAGATGATGAAAGCTGCAATATAGTGTTAGAAAATAGCTTTTTCAAGGAAGCTGTATTCATCAATGGAAATTCAAAATTCTGTTTTCGGAGGCTTAAGCAAATTGTCATGTACAATAAGTATTTTCTTATTTCGTCAGCAACATACATATTTCTTGGTGGATTATGCAGCACCAAGCATATAGAAACACAACAAACATATGAATAAGCCTAAAAACAAATTACACAAGTATTTGGATTTCAATTGAGTGAATTGAGATCTTGTAAACACAATTGCTATTAATTAAAGTGGATTTCTCTTTCTATGTCCGTGATTTTTTTTTTTTCCGTATTGGGTTTCCACGTAAATTTTGATATTTATTTTCTTCTTATTTATTTCATCATCGTCATTATTTTGTAATCGAAATTAATAACAAGTATTATCTACTTTGTTGGAGCCTAAAAACATAAGCATAAGCCTAAAAACATGAGGAAAGAAGTTGATGACGAAATGATTAATTTTTGGACCTAATTAACATTAAATTTATAAATGATCAAACTTCATTTTCAATCACACGTTTCGATCAACCCACAAATGCTATCCACTTATATCTATTTATAAATAATTCCCAAGCAGATAGTAAAATAGGGCTGTAAAATATTTAAAACCTATCGCCTCATGACTTCCATTCTCCTAATTATCTCCAATGATCATCAAAAAGCAAGAAAAATATTTATATAAAGTCATTTGTGTGTATCCATAATATCTCACATGATCATAATCAAGAAACACTTGCGTATGTAACTAGAAACACACGCGCGCGCACACACATGTATGTACCTGCTGCTGCAGCCCCAACATCATCTTCCTTGGCGTCCCTGGTGTGGAGAACCAGCCTGGTTTTATAGTGAGAATTTGAGGCATAAAAGTCTGAGAGCGCCATTGAAATGCAGCTGAATCCCATTGCACTAAAAGAATTGTTCATGTTTAGTACCACTCCCACGTCCACGTTTATGAGAACTGTTTGATTCTGCGCCATGGCCATGTGTGCAGTCAAAATGTTTAAGGACAGAGAAAAGAAGAAGTTGAAAGAGAAAATGAGTTGGCTTGAAGATTTCTTCTCCATTTTTTCAGCTTTAAGATTGACACTATGGGTTTGAGCATAGGACAGTTCTATTTATGTTGCCAATAATGCTATTTGTATAATCTTATTTATACAATCATGGATGACAACCTTTGTTGGCATCATCACGTCCATCCATTTTTAACATTGTCAAAAACTGTTTTTTAAATCGTTGGTCCGGACTTTGCCTCCTCAACATTGTCAACAATGTTTGTCAATCATCATTGTACAAATAATATTATTCTTATATTGCAGGATTAGAACAAGCATGCATTGCAGGCCAAGTGTAATAAATGAATTCTTAAAATAAATTTTATTTTTTAACAATTTAATATGAGAATTTTCTGACTTTCCTTTCTTTATATTATGGCACAGTGAAATTTGGATTTAATTTTTTTTATTATTGTTTAAAATGACTTATTTATATGTCAAATATGCAATTTAACCATATCAAACATAAGTACATAACTTTCTCCTCCTCCACGAGTTGATCGAAGTCAGAAGTTGCATGTTTAGCGTAGTTTATAATGACTTAGTCAAACTCTATTTGTATATAAACATTCTATAAACTACGATTTTTTATGTGTTTTTTAACTACATATTCTTTGTGGCTCATTATTTATAAGCACTTACAAATTTAAGCAACCAAGCAGATTTACACCTTTTCGACTCACACGTCAGTACTCCATAATTAACAAGTTTGTTTGTTGTGCAACACGGAATTGGAAAGCAAATATTAAGCTTCTAATGAGCATCCGCAGTGAAGACATATTCAATTACTTGGAGTGAAAGTTATGTTTCATAGAAAGGGAGAGTAAATATTAATTATAATTC